AAGTAGGCTGGGCTCGGTGGCTCAGCCTATAATCCCGGCACTTTGGGAGGCCGAGATGAGTGGATTGTCTGAGCCCGCGGGTTCGCAACCCGCCTGGGCAACTTGACGAGACCTCATCTCTTCAATAAATCAAAAAGTCAGCCAGGTGTGGTAGTGCGCGCCTGTAGTTCAGCCACTCGGAAGGCTGAGGAGGAAGGATCGCCGGAGCCCAGCAGGTCAAGGCTGCGGTGGCCGGGAGCTGCCATAGCACTCCAGTCTGGGCGACAGAGTGAGACTCCAACTCAAGAAAAAAAAAAAGGAAGAAGTACTTTTTTTCATCCTTAAGCAGAAGCAGAATTTTCCCCTGCTTTCATGGTCAGAAACCTTCTGTTATCTGCACAGAAAATTGTTCAGGCCTAGGGGTCACATTTCATAAATGATATGTGACAGTTTGGTATTTATGTTTTCTTGACATGTTTAAAATTACAAAATCCTTTCAGGGATATGGTAGTTAAGATTTCAAAAGAATATCATACAAAGGAAATAGCATTTATTTGAAATTCTCAACGTTCTAATGTATCAGATTATGTCAACTCCCACAACCACAAAAGGGAATAGGTTTGGTCAGTTTAATTTGGTTAATTTTATCAAATCACATTTATTTAGGGTTTATTTAGTGTGCCAGACACTGCCGGGTGTGAGATTGAGTAAAATGCTAGAACTGTCCTCAAGGAGTTCCTAGATTAGTTGGGAAACACATAGGGAAATAATTAAAAATGGAACAAGTGTAGTGGCAGAGTATGTACAAATACAAAGTACTTTGGAAGGGCAGATGAGACATGGCTCTGGGCATGACATCCGAGGTCATCTTGAAAGATAAGGAGTTAAGCAAGTAGAGAAAGAGCAGGAGGGCATTTTCATCAAGGGGAATAGCACAGTTGACAACGTGCAATATTTGACCACTTAAGAAAAACCCTAGTTTGTCTTGCTTATTGACAATTGATTGAAATAACATCATTTTTTTTGCAGTTTGCTACTTGTGTCTTAATATATATTCTTACCTTTTAGGGGGCTACAGAATGGTCTGACTGTTATCATATTGCTGGTGATAATAATCCACTGGCTGTGAATAGAGCAGCAAATAACATCGCATCTTTATTAACCAAGAGCCAAGTTAAAGAAGGGTAAGCATTTAAACATTTACAAGATTTATTTCTCTCTCTTTTTTTTAAGTCAATCTCACTCTGTAAACCAGACTGGAGTGCAGTGGCACACTACTCACAGCCACCACAGCCTTGACCTTTTGGACTCAGGCAATCCTTCCACCTCAGCCTTTTAAGTAGCTGGAACCACAGGTGTGCACCACCACATCTGGCTAACTTTTTGTTTGATTCGTTATAGTGACTGGATCTTGCCAAGTTGCCCAGGCAGGCCTCAAACCCCTGGGCTCAGGCAATCTTCTCGTTTCAGCCTTCCAAAGTGCTAGGATTACAGGCATGAGCCACCACGCCTGGCTAACTTAAAAGATTTCTTAAAAAAAAAAAAAAGATTTCTTAGCATCTTTTAGACTTAGATAAACACTTTTCATATTGACTTTGTGGATTAATACTCCCAGCGCATTGGACATCATTATCCCAAAATAACATATTGTGAGACTCCATTTAAATTTTAAAAGTTGCTGGGCATGGTGGCTCACACCTGTAATCCCAGCACTTTGGGGGCTTGAGGCAAGAAGACTGTCCGAGTCCAGGGGTTTGAGACCAGCCTGGGCAACTTGGTGAGATCTCGTTTCCACAATAAATAAAAAAATTAGCCGGGCATGGTGGTGCACATCTTTGGTTCCAGCTACTTTGAAGGCTGAAGTGGAAGGATCAAGTGAGCCCAGCAGGTCGAGGCTGCAGTGGCCATGAGCATGCCACTGCACTCCAGCCTGGGGGACA